AAACGCAGAGAAAAAAGGCTACTTGGAAATCCCTGAAAGCTGGAATAAATTCGAACTTCACCCTGATTTTTGGCGACATATCCAACATGAGTCTAATAAATCGTTTAGCATACGCCATATAGGGTTTTCTCCAAACATTTCTTGCGACAAAACCTGCTCATCTAGAGCTCTGAAATTTTAGGTTTGTAAGGAAAAGAGATTCATTTTAAATTCCTGAGAGTTTAAATTTATGTGCAATCTACACTGATTTTTGACAACATATCAAACATGAGTCTAATAAACCGTTTAACTTGAGTCATGTAACGTGTTCTTCAAAAGTTCCTTGCGACGAAATCAGCTCATCTAGAGCGCTGAAATTTTACGTTTGCAGAGAAAAAAGGTTTATTTTAAATCCCTGAAAGTTTCAATACATTCGGATATTGATATTAATTCTAGCTCTAACAATTGGTTCAGATGGCCGTACGAACGGCCTTTTGAACAGTTCTCCAGGAGCACAAAACCTTTAGAAGGCAATTTTTTTTAAATATGCAGGAAACCTAAAATTTAAATTTCCCATTTACCATCTAAATTCCACCATTCGAGTCCCAACCTCACCCCTTTGAAGGGTCCGAGCAACGCTCCAACAATATTTCATCAGATTTTTCATGACTCTTTTGCATCTCGCTCGCTCTGAGGGCAAATCAGCGTGCCATACCTGTCTAGCTGAAACTTTCAAGCGATTTGATTGGTCCAATTGATGAGAATATACACGAGGTCAGGTCCCGTACTATTCAGTGCTTTTACAGCTTGTTACAATACGGGTGACTACTTTGTCGGTAGGGCCGGCGTGGTTTGGCTTTTGAGGTTAAAACAGCCTTTACACTGTGCGGTTTGCGACCCCTTGGCGTCTATCATTCGGTAAGTGCATTTTAAGGGGTTTTTCTAAGTCCCAGATGGTCTTTAGTAGGTACATATGGGCTTTGCTCCCTCCCGTCTCCTGCAGAGGAATATCGATATTTTTAACGTAGCATGCTGTCAGTTGACAACCGCAGGATAGAATGCTGTTAAATGTACTCATAAATATTCAAAGAAATGTTTGATACACATCTTTTCAGGGGGGCATTTAGCGCTCTTTTAATTAAGTAATGGAAGAAATATTTTTGGTACTTGCAGTTTGCGCGTTTCTCTTGGGTTATCATTCTTGGGGACGCAGGTAACAGTGAAGAGGCCCTGCCACGTTCCACAATGACGTTTGGGTTTTTTTATTCATAGAAAACCGCGAATATCAAACTGGTCTAAATATTGCGTCATTTGAGAGTAGGATTCTGAAGCGGGATTCTATAAATGAGCACGTGAGATTGAGTAAAATTCAGGAAACTGCGATGATTAGACGAGTTTGTTTAATGATTCTAAGTGAATCAACGTAAATAGTTTAAGTTATTTTGGAAACGATGTTAAGAGGCCATTGAGCCAAGGCTTGGCGAGCTACTTCATTTGTTTGGCATGGTCTAGGTTCCAGGTGATATTTAAATGGACATTTTTCAAAAACTTCTTAGAAAAACCGCAATGTTTAAATAACACTATCAGTTCCCCAACTTGAAATGATGCAACATGCAAAAAAAACCGTTATTGACCCAATCCGGTGCGAAGGACCACTCTATTAATACCCCAAATTCAATATCTAATCCCCAGGTAGGTTGATCTTATCTATCTAATGTGATTCTTCAATCGCGTGCGTCCATTATGATGCAACATTGTTCAGACTTTCAACGCCAGCGTATAAATTTAAAACAGGCGGGCAGAGGCGTTGCACGTGGGGGGCACCATCCATCGATTGCAGCTACATACTTGCATGTGTAAACTAGACCATTCACAACTAGGCATTTTTCAACCGAGTAACTGGATCTCGCTGAGCTAAAATTATAATTGTAGTACGACGAAGCAATTTCATTGATTAGGAAATGGTGTTTCTGGCAAGGTTTTGCATTGTTGGCATACTCTACCAGCTCATAGACTCTTGAGCTTATTCACTCAGTTCTAAAGCCACTTGGATTTCATGCGATTATCAAATATTTTTTTATGCAACTGTCATTGAATTATAATGAGAATAATTGCTTATTTATAATGATTTGCAGCTTTCTACTTTAAAATTTGCCATTGAAAGTAATTCATCAAATGATTAGGCATATTGTGAATGAACACTATTATCTGCCTCGATTGAAAGAAGACATTACAGTTTGGAGCCCAGCTCTAGTTTCTTCACACCGATTGAGACCTAGCAAAAGTTTGCTGATGTTCTACGGGTTAATTGCGTTTTTCAGCCTCATTTGTATGCAGAAAAGTCCCATTTTACATCCAGTAAAGACTTGGTTTAAGAAATCAGTCGCATTCGCGGACACGCCATTAAATCGATCTCCATCTACGCTCATATTTTTTGTTGTTATTTTCTAGATTATGGCCCCCTAACTTTTCTTAATGCAGTTCGTTTTTTTCACCACTTTTCGCCAAAAACCTCATTTCCCCATAAACTGGCAATGTCATGCTAACGCGGCAGGTGATTAAATGTGTTGTCCCAAAAACCGCTTAAATCCAGTAAAGTTGCAGTCGAGTGCTCAAAAAATATATTTCTCACTGATAAGGAAATGGGGAAACTGTTCGATTGGCGGACTAGGGAAATAATTGCATTTGGCGCCGACACGTCATAAAATAAATTGCATAAGCCCGATAACGTTTTTGCCAGTTTGCACTGCACTTTGCTACTGGATTTACGCCTTGCGAAATAACAATTATTATTTATATCATGGGTTTTTTTACCACATGCTTGTATTGATGAAATAAATTTTTCAATTTAAGTCATTGAATCGCCCTGGTATTTTCCTAATAATCCATGGAGACCACCTGTTTCGGCGAATAGGACTTTGGTTACCGCCCGCTCGCTCCAATCCTTGTTATTACGTGGGTGAATCCAAAAGTTCTCGTTTGCGTTCATTCATTGACTGCTGACCCACTTCTTGTCCTTGCCATTCAAAAATAATTGATGCCGATAAGGTTTTGCAGGATGATTTGGCAAGATCATTAGAAAACTGGTTATCTGGTTGAGATATGGGATTATTTTGCTGTTTAGAGCAGTGTGTGTTTGCGTGCTTTGGTGCTTGAACTTTGGCTAGGTAAATATTACCATATGTGTGTGTGCAGTTTTGGAGAGTTTTTCAAAAAGAAGTGATGAATAAACCCATTAGACCGGCGATTTTCACGACCATAATTCGTCTGGCGTACGCATTATTCGGCTATTAGTAATTTCAATCTCTAATTGACCGCTGATTGGCAGTGATTTGATGGAATTAGAGGAATGTCTGGTTCAGGGTTTCATTTCAATTCCAACCGATATTTTTACGTTTTAGCTTCAATTTTCAGATGATGAATAATGTTTTTCAATGTTGAGCATTTGTAAACACTTGAGAAGAGTTCGGTACTTGAGGTCAATGCCAAAAATTTGAAAACAGCCCAAGTTTAAGAAAGGAAATAATTTTTTTGTTTCTACAGGGTGTTAATACAGGGGGAAATTCCTGATTCCGATAGACCACGGCTTCAAAGCCCGGAAAACATTCCTAAATGTAATTTAACCGGCCGTGAAAGCCTTCATAGTCTGACAGGGGGAAATTTTGAAATCTGAAGAAAAATTGGCGATTTATGATTTTTTCTGTTGCTGATGTTCTTGATTGGCTTAAGATCGGGACTGCTCGAATGTAAATAATTTTAAGTGCGTCGATTTTCGCTAGTTTTGAGTCTCGTCGGTTCGAATTCCAGTTTTCTGGACCTTTTGTGTTAAAACGATTCTTTAGCCTCGCACTAATTTTGGCAGCGATTTTTGAGAAAAGCCACTTCGAATGTTTGTTGCACTTTTTTGTCCAAAACTAGCTTAATCTTTATCTTTTTGACCAAAACTCAAAAACATTGAATGAACAAACGAATTTGTCTGTCGAAAGGTTGTTTTTACAGGGCGTGGGAATGCTGGTTTTCTGAGGGCCTGAATTTCAGCATGTTCTCCATTTTTTTAATCAAATTCCGGTTGTCTGGTTCTTTACCACTGAAAAGTCTCTAATGGCCCATATATTTTCAGTGGTTTTAGAAAACATCAGCTTTGATTGTGAGGCGGCTCTCTTTTGCTTGAAATGTTTCAAACCCCAATAGCTTCTTTTGCACAGAAAATCGAATGCTCAGCTCAATGCTATCTAAATTAAGGTCTTACAGGAACAGGATACTAATTAATACTCGTAATACTCAATTGCAAACATCGCATATTGGCTAAAAATGCCAAACAAACACTTGATCAATGTTATTTACTGGCAAAAGTATTGCAAATATTTGACGCAAACAAATTTTCTCAATTTGTTAACAATCGTAGATTATTTATCTAAATTGCAATTTCCGCAAGTTATCCACTGTTTTCGCTTTCAATAATCCGGCAAAATACTATCAAATAGGCTTTAAGGATTAATCACAGCAATTCACTAATCACGGTTAATCAGTGTAATAACAGTGAACTGCTTTATAAAGAAACAATCTTTAAACCCGGTTTTTTTATGTATGGTTTTGAAAACATTCTAGTTTACGTTAAAACCCAATAGCTGAAAACATCAATGTTAATTTTGCTGAATTTACTCACTCACGCATTCAGCGAATGCACATGGCGCTTTAAAAATAAACAAATTAGTTGCACTATTAATAACATTACGATGAAAACCGTCCTCGTACTTGGCCAATAGCATAATTTTCAACAATGAATTAACAATTTGCACACAATAATAATTGGCACCTTTATTGTGCAATTTAATGTTTTTCTATTCTCGATTGTTATCAAAATAGCATTGAATTCGGGAGATGTTTCGCAAGCATTAATGACTTGCATCTTGAGGAGTGGTGCTTCAAGAATATCAAACAAACAGTCGGTTAGAGTACAAACAAATGCTGGGAATATTAAACACAATAGACGAAATTGCCCTGTTTACCGGTTGAAAAGCATGCAAAGAAAGGACAGTTTAGTGAATTGTTGTGGCTTATTAGGAAGTGCGCTATTGCGATGATAAAAGCACAGTTTCCTAGAATTGTGGGAGTTCTATTCGAGGCAATAAATAGTAATATTTCAGAACGTCGATTTTTATATAGGTAGGTATAAAGTGTACATAACCCAGTAACATGGTTGCTTGTCATCCAATCATGTGGTTTCATTTCAAAAAGCCTTGAAGCCGATATCGGGTCGATGATAACCAAATGGTCCTATGCAGTTTTATGTGCAATGACTTTAAAATTTCCCAGTAATCAAATTATTAAGTTTTGTTGCTCATTTGAATTTGGCGTTTTGAAATCTACAAGCCAAGTCACCTAATCACTATGGAAACATACATTAGTTTGGCGGTTGCTTGGCAACAAGAACGCGGCAAATTCAAAATTTGAACCTTTTGCAAGTGAAGATATTAACCCAAATCGGTTCAAAGTGTTATTGTAATTGAAGAATACTGATAAGAAATGCGGAGACAATTTGTAGGATTGTATGACGCATTTGTTCATTTAATATTGTTATAATTAACGGCCTCCCAGCAAAGACGTTTAATTTTAGCTGACCGGTTACCCGATAAACAGTAGTTTTGCATTTAATGTCAAGATTTTAGTGTGAAAGTGTGATTTTTCGGTTTTTAGGTGCGCAACAAATTGCAGGTTTTATTTAAGTAAGTTACTAATTCGGTCCGTTTAGCGTCTCTCGAGTTTATTAAACTCGATTAGCAGTCAACAAGTGGCTGGAAAATGTTCAAAAATTCCATGATAAATGTGCGCAATTTGGGAAATTATTTTAAGCCAAGTTTTTCAAATTCACCAAACATTTCCGATGTGTTTCTGTGGCTCCGTAATGTTAGGTTTTGGTAAAATCCCGAAAAAAAAATTACCAAGCTGATGAGTTTTTCGCACTTTTAGGCCGTGGGGCAAAGCATTTCTTCGTCACGTAAACGTTGAGCGTTAAACTAGTTTTTGAATCTGAAGCATTTGGAGAAAAAATTGCCCCGAACCCGCGTTTTTAATTTGTTGTGAGCAGCTTCTAATCTCAAATAGAGGAGTAGTTAATCCAGAAAATGCCACAGAAGTGAACTTTGAAAAAGCCTCAAATAACTTCTTAAAATCGAGGAATTTCACCCTACGGCATCGCGATCGACTAATTTATAGCACTTTTGCTGAGAACGCTTGAATAAATCGATAATCCCTGATTGAAATTAGAACATTTGTGTCCAAGGTTTTCGTTAAAATTCACCAGCTCTCTATAAGCAGCGCTTATATAAAGACTCTTGGCATTACTTAAAGTGCGACGTTATTTTTATAAGTAGCGAATATTGACTTTTAGTGTTTCCTGCGGCATTAACGGTTCTTGTTTGTTTCAGGACTTTGTAGTCAGTACATACGAAGCGACTCATTATAATAGTTGATTTACGGAGTAAAAAGTGTGTGCCGTGACAGTTACGTGGTAGGCGAGCGAACAATTTCTGGGAAGAGGATTTTCTGAATTCGAGATGGATACTGAAAAAAGCCCCCAAAATGGAACCGTCACTGAGTTGGAGACTTTTCTGCCCAAAGACAACTCAGAAGCGAACGGAGTCACAAAGTTAGTAACATCAGCTCGTGGAGCTGGCTTGTTGTGTTTGATTTAAGTGTTTTTTTGTAGCCGAATCCGATACGATTCCTGTGGGTATTTAGAATTCCCTTTGATTAGAATATTAGCGAGTAATAAGAACTTTTTTGATTTGGCACAGGTTGAACAGCAAGTAGCTTTCTTTAATCAGCATTAGACATTACTATGCATGGATCTGTTTTGCCATTACAAGCGCTTATCCAACTTGCTCTATTTCAGGTACAAGGTTAAGGGCGACGACTTCGAGGCTCTTAACTATGAATTCGACCCTTTCAAGGCCCGCCAACTGGAACACCCAGTATCGTAAGTTGTACTTTATTAACCACCAAGTTGAGAAAATTCAAGTTTTTTTGCGTTCAGAAACATGGATACTCTCACGCACTTGCTCAAGGCCTCACTGGGAACTGGCATCTTGTCCATGCCTGCAGCCTTCAAGGCCTCAGGGTTGGTCATGGGAATTTTCTCCACCATTCTGGTCTCGGCCATCTGCACGCATTGCTCCTACATTCTAGTGGTTTGCGCCCATGAGCTCTACAGAAGATCGGGCAAGACTCAGATGAGCTTTTCTGATGTTGCGGAGCAAGCCTGCAGGAATGGACCGAAGTGGGCTCATAAACTCGCGGTACCAGCAAGGTAACTTATCAATTTTAACTTCTTTGGCAAGCTGAAAGGGCGCATGTTCTCACAGTTAAAATGCTTGTAAAATTAACTTTGTTAAATTAACAAACTCAACACTCTGTTACTTCAATATTTTCTTGATTTTAGATTAATTGTGTTGATTGGAATCTTTATAACGTATTTCTTCACCTGCTCGTGCTACTGCGTCATCATAGCCAAGAACATGAACTATGTACTCGAACACTATTTGCACTATGAGGTCAACATTCGGATGTTGATCGCGATGCTTCTGATACCGCTGATTCTTCTGGCCTACGTTCCGAACCTCAAATATCTGGCTCCCTTTTCCATGGTGAGAACACGCGGGTAGTCCAACCGAAAGGGCGAAAACTGAAGGTTTCATTTGCAGGTTGCAAACGGCTGCATGGCAGTGGGTCTGGGAATCACTTTCTACTACTTGGTCGCTGACATCCCACCAATCAGCGATAGGCCGCTGGTCGCGAATATTTCCACTCTGCCAATTTCCGCCAGTATTACCATGTTTGCAATTGAGGCCATTGGAGTCGTAAGTTGTATATTTACTTTCATAGAGAATATTTGGTGAACTATACTGGATCCACCGATTTTGACTCTTCTTGTCTTCAGGTTATGCCATTGGAGAACCACATGGCTTCGCCTCAGAGCTTTACTGGACTATGCGGCGTGCTGAACCAAGGAATGTCTTTCGTCACCCTCATCTACGTTCTCCTGGGCTTCTTTGGCTATTTGCGCTATGGGGATGCAACCGAAGGTTCTATTACCTACAATCTACCTGAGGATGCCATGTAAGTTGCACTACTGTTGCTCTAACAGTCTGGCTCCAAAAATTGATGCTTCGACTTCCTATAATGTATTCATATTTTCTTTTGCAGACCAGCTCAAATAGTCAACATCCTGATTGCAATCGCCGTTTTCTGCACCTTTGGATTGCAATTCTATGTCTGCTTAGATATCGGCTGGAACGGACTAAAAGACAAATGCACAAAACACCCAGTACTAGGCCAGTATATGATGCGAACTGCTATGGTCATTATTTGCGTGGCAATTGCGATTGCGGTGCCCACAATCATCCCGTTCGTCTCCCTTATTGGTGCGTTCTGCTTCTCGATTCTTGGTCTTATTGTGCCTGTGGGCATCGAAATAATCACCTTTTGGGGCAAAGGATTCGGCGCCTACAACTGGAAGATCGTTAAGGATGCGGTAGTGGTGGTGGTTGCCATTTTGGCTTTTATTTTTGGCTCGAAAATGGCCATCCAGGATATTGTCGAACTGTATCGGAAATGATTAAGGTAATTTCCGGTCTTAGGTACTTTGATTTGATGAGTGCGTTTAGGTTTAAATGAAACTTCAAAAGTTCCTGCAGTTACAGTTTTTGGAACCCTCCAACTGTAAACGATTAATTCCATTTTTTTTTTAACTTTAAGTCCATTAAGTAGGTCGACCGTTTTAAACATTAGCGATCGCCGGGCGAATGACCCAGATTAACTTCACCTGGATAATGGCTGTGATTTATTTAGATAAGCCTCGATCTAAGTGCCTGTAGTCCAAAACTCCTGAATGGGTTGATTTCTTGATCATCATGCGAACGAGGTGATTTATCTGGGACCTTCTCACTTTGATGCGCATCTCGATATTTTAAATTCTGGACCAAATTCTCTTCGAATATCTCCTCCCAATCTAAGTGCCTTGTTGGGCAGGATGTGCAGTGGGCGTTGTATAAGCTAGTTGGGTGAAACAGGGTTTAGTTTTTAGTTTCATTGTAACTGCACTTCATAGGACGGATCAAAATAACACATTTTTAAGTAAATCAATCAAGACTTGATTTAGAACTTATTTTCAGTTATTTTGTGCCACCCTGCATGCGTTAGCTCTCTATCCACACCAGTTATGGATGGGACTCATTCACAGTTCATTTGTTGAACGGCGCAGTTCTGATGTTAAAAAATACCATATAAAGGCGCCTAAAGCACCGATAGTTTATCGTTATTAAGTAAATTGGCCAAGCAAGATTCAAATGCATTTATTGGCATATCAAGGCCAGCATTTTGGAGTGATGTTTTCACTATTGACCGAAATTGCCCAGAAACAAATTAGCGTTATTAAAAAAATGCCTGATTACTTCAGTTGGTGCTGGGCATCCGAAAACAGGCGTATTTAATTATTTAGTCTACTTTTTACACAGCCGTACAATTTATTGTTAACAGCCGACTTACCAACGAATCACTTGAACCGGTGGTGATAAACTCAATCTACATGTTTTTGGATACATTTTTTTAGTAATAATAAACCATATTTATCAATTTTGATTTATTTATATCGTGTTCACAGCCATGATCGTCCTTTTGATCTTCTCTCGCTTCTTGCGCCTTTTGGCGTTCTGCTCCCTTGTCGCGTCGCGGAAAAGCTGGATCCCTTCCCGAGCTTCCAACTCACCTTGCACCGACAATAGCCCAACCATATTATATCCCACTAAGTCCTAAAGTTACCCATTAATTTCTGCTTCGGTTTCCAACAGCCGAAACTTACCCTGAGTTCTCCCACTTTCTCCTTCATCGTTTTTTCCAGCAGCTCCAAAGTGGGAAGGAGCAGTTTGTTGGCCACTAATGGGGCGTGATGAAGCCTCATTAGGAAAAGAGCAACTTTGCAGCCCATCTCTATGCAGTCGCCTCTGGCGATTAAAGCGGGTAGCATTGTGAGCACTTTGCAGACGTGGACGAATGGGAGAATCAGCAAGCCCTCTTCGAGGTCGCTAGCTCGGATTCGCTTAATAGTCTCCAGTAGAAAGTCTTCAGGGGTTTTAACATTGAAAGCCTGCATCAAAAGTGGAATCGCCGGAACAGGAAGCGGTTTAGAAGACCCCGCTTGCAGCGCCGCGTGTTCATCTAGTTCTTCTTGATACTTTTCACTGACTTCCAAACATTCCAGGATACTTTCCGCCTGCAAAACCAGCAACATTGACAGCATCTTTAAAGTAATTTTTTAATATTCTTACAGCTCTTTCGCTGCCGATGGTCCGCTTGCTGGGCAGATTCAGTGCTGAGTGTCCAGGCACTACAGTCTTTTCCGCCACTGCCTCCTCCTGCTGTTCCCGCTCTTCTTCCTGCTCATCCTGCAGAACCACTAGTTGATCGGAGCGTTCGTACAACCGCAGGACTTTGTCCGAGCCGCAAGAGACCACATACTGACCATTGGGGCTTACTGCCAAGGAATGCGCCTCGCCTGCATGCCCCTAGAGTAATCCCAATTACCCAATCCGGATTTAGTCTGATTCCTGGTAATTTACCTGCACAGTGACGATTTTGTGGTACTTATCCGCGTCCCATTCCTTAATAGAGCCATCCTTTCCGCATGTGAAGAAATAGTGGGTGTTTGGCACGAACTGCAGGCCCATAACAGAATCGTCATGAGCGAAAATGCTTTTGTGGCAGTCGCCGAAATCCATGCCCCAAATTTTGATGTTTCTGTCGCCCGAGCCAGTGGCGATCAGTCGGGAGTCGCTTGAAATGTCCATGCAGTAAACCGGCATTTTGTGGCCATACAAAGACAGGTAAAACTGCAAATTTTCATTGGTAAATCGAGCAGAGCTGTGAGCCTTTTGGGGTACCTTGAAAGAGTCGGAGAAGAATATTTTCACTGTGGAATCCAACAGGGCAACCGCGATAAACTTGGAGTCTGGCGAAAGTTTCACGCAGAGAACACCTTCCTCTAGTTTAAGAGTCCGGTTGTGGACTAGCGAGAGAACTTTCACTTTGGATTCGCTTTGTTGGTCCACGATCAGTTCAAATTGCCAAAATTTCACTGTTTGGTCGCCGCCGCCAGTCACGCATCCTCTCTGCAATTGAACGCATTCCCATACGAACACCTGGTACGGATATCGCAAGTTTTTTACTTACCAAGTCGGGGGTAAGGCAGATGGTTCGCAAGTCTTTGCTGTGAGCGACTATTTCCTCCAAAACGTCTCCGGCCGCCACATCGACGATAACAAGCTTGCCGTCTCTTAAGCCTGCCAAAACGTGTCGATCTCCAGGTACAAAAACCACTGATTGAACAAATCTAGAAAAAACATGAGTTTTTTGTTCACGATACATTGATACTTGTTTGAAAGCTTACCCAACATCTATAGTACGCAAACATGTTTGCGAGGGTCTGTTCCACATTCGCAGGGTATCGTCGCTTCCAGACACAATGGCCAGATTATCGCTGCTGAAGGCCACAGCTCGGACCTGAGAGTGATGGCCTTTCTTGACAATTTCCCTTAAGCAGTTGGGTTCGGCGTCCTACTTGAATAGTTTATAAACCTCCACTGCGCAAAAAATCCGCATTGAATGTTTACCTTTACTGAAGTCATCAGAGTGAAAAGTTTTACGCAGTTGTCGCGATAGTTCAGGGCGACTCTCAGTTCGCCACCGTTCCCCAACACCAAGTCCAAGTTAGTGGTCGGGCCTGATGCTTTGATTGGTTTGAGGCGCTTGATTTGATCAGCCAGACCCGTATTTGCCTCAAGTTCCTCTGGCGCTCCCTGTCTGTGGAAAATTTGGTTACACCCGATTAAAACCGTTGGTCAAGTCCTTACTTGTTCTTCTTGCGCTGCTTTTTCAGTCGCTTCTTCTGGCGCAATTGAGCCTCATCTTCGGTGCAGAAATAGAACAACTCGACCATCTTATCAGTGCCGTGGCATCCGAGAACTTGGCCAGTTGAGTCGCTCGTTAGAGCAACTACTCGACTCTTGGAGCCTCTGAAGACTGAACCCGCCTTGATGCATTGAAGTGGGTGCTGAGGAGGTGAAAACCTTCGTTTAAACAGGTTTAGATTTTCTGCTGGTGACTTACTGTAGTAGAATCATCTCCTTCCTCTAAAGTGACCAGCTCCAGGGTGGCAGTCATATGCTCTAAAGGGTCAATACTTTCGTTGTACAAGTCGCGCGTGGTTAGCTTGAAAACGCGTAGCTCATAGTCCCCACAGCCCGTCACCAAGTATTCGTCGTTTTTCATAAGCGCAAATCCCCAAACCTGGAATCCAAATAAGTTAATGCCCGATGTTTCAGTCAACTGAACTGGGCACTAACCTCCGTTCTATGGCCAGTCAAGGTTTTAAAACAGTGCTGCGTACTCAAGTCCCAGAACTTCACAAAAGTGTCCTTTGAGCTGGAAATGAGCACGTCTTGCTTGTCCATGAAGGTCACTTTGGTTATGGGGCCCTTGTGGCCTTGTAACCTGCACAAGCCGCTTTCTGTCACTATGTCCCATACTATAACGTCTGTGTCCTGAAATTTTTCGGCGTTTACTTAGGAGATTTTTTCGAGAATTAATTGACTGATCAATTACCCGGCTTCCTGAGGCCAGTCTATGCCCCTGATTGTCGTACATTAAGGTCGTGACTTCGGAGCGATGTCCCGAAAATACACTGACCACTTCAACGGTTTTCAGGTCATAGATCTGCACATTTCCATCCGAATATCCTGCTGCCAAGTGCCGGTTGTTCGGGCTGGCACACAATGCCGTTACTACGGCTTTTTCCCCTGGCAAAACCTGGGCCTGAAAAAAAACAGATCCAATATTCACTGGCCAACTATGTTGGTTGCCAATTTAATTTGGTACCTTCTCTCCTAATCTCAGGTCCCAAATCAAAATGTGCTCTGCAGCTCCTACGGCGACAAACCGCCCAATTTGGCCCTGCAGCGTGAGGAAAACCACGTTGCAATTGGCACTGCTTATAATGTTGAAGTTGCCCGCAGGCACGTAACGCAAATAGTCTTTTGTGAGCCCCATTTCGGATCCTTAAAGCGCACACTAAAACACGATGTTGTGTATACTAAAAATGCGGTTAGAGCCATAGAACTGTGGCGAACTCTAGCCGCCACTTCTCAACTAGCAGCTCCAACCGAAACGCCACCTATATCTCACCGTATAATATCTGTGGCGTTTCGATTCAAATGGAACTCCACAAAATATCCCCTGGAGTATGTTCTGTGTATGGCGCGCGTTGAAGCACCATGCGTTTCGTCCCGGGCCTACCTATTGGACTCGTCAGTAAAGGCCGAGTCACATCTATTCGATCCGACTCCGATCAGAGAGAACCTTCCGTCGATGACCAAATAATCGGATCGGAAAGGGGAAGCCACACATGTCATACACGTTTCAGTTTCCGTTCCGATTTTTGTACGAGTGCAAATCACAGATTATCAAACTATTCCTAAGACTAAGTCCAAATGTATTAATTGGCTTTACCGTTTTTCACGTTTTTCATACAGACACTCGGATGGTTTACTTTGAATATCGAAAACTGAAAGCCGAACTAGATATAAGACTTTTGCTTTATGTTCTTAGGCTCTTTTAGGAAACTATAGCTTGCCGAATTAAGCCAAACTAACGTGATATTTAAAAATGCTTTAACGTGACAAAAAGACTAGTAGCAAACTAATTGTGCGATTATATTTGTTTTCCACTCGTATTTCCGGTCCATATGTTAGTTATTAAAAATTTATTGCCAAAAATTCAATGCGATGCGATTTTTGTCTTTTTGTTTATAATATTATATAATAATGGAGTAATCGGAATGCCCAACGAGATGATTTGTATAGAATAAAAATGTCTACAAAATGAGGGGTTGAATTAAAACATTAAAACCTGAAGTAGTAAATAAATTTCCATGAACAGTTTACAATGTACACTTTAGTAGTTATTTTTCCAATATTCCTTGCCAGAGTCCTTACATACAGTTGCTGTGTAAACAATAATATAAATTAATACTTGCGACGAATCATGTGCATTATTAATAATTGAGTTTGTTTCCTATCAGTAAAATTCTGTAAGCCCAATCAAAATATTTAAATATCTACAGCTTACTTTGTCCATTAAAAACCAAATGCATCACTGACGCAACCTAAAATGCGGACCGTTTTTCCTTCCGACAATCGGATAGCAAATACCCATCGAATAGCCAGCAAAATCGAAACATGCTCTCAGATCGGAGTCGGATCGGATAGATGTAACCCGGCCTTAAGGCGTAGGTAGGCCTTGCCTTAGACGCCGGATACGGAACATAGGTTGGAAGTTCTAATTGGAATAGTAGTAATCACAGATCACAGGGGTACTCTGTAATCTGTGGTAGCAATTAGCATGCACATAGAAGTAAGGTGTAAATTAATAAGATGCCCATGCTAGCA